CAGAGGGAGGAGAGCCAGAGAGGAGTGTTAAGAGTGAAAAGAAAAGGCAGGAAAGCAGTCATGGAAAAATGGTCAAATTAAGGGAGAAAGGAAGAAAAAGTAGGGGAAAAAAAAGGACTGAGAAAGGAAGAGGACGAAATAGAAAAGAAGAAGGAAGCAAAGCAAAATTGTGAAGGAGTGTCCTTCTGCCCTGTTAGGCAGAGCGATGCAGCGGCAGGACAGCAAAGAGCCCCAGGCAGTAGCACTCGTTATTTCCATCCTAGCTGATGTCACTGATTGCTTTTCTCCTCCTTTGTCATGCTTGCTGACAGAGTCGTGGGACTTGAGACTCTGTTCCTACCCAGCCCAGGCAAAGGTTTCTTTTCCAGTTCCATAGGAGAACAGTCTCATCTGCATTTTGAGATGCTTCCAAATGCCATGCATCAGGAGACATGGGGAGGTGAAAGAGGCAGGGCTGGGCCATTTGGGACCATCTTCTGTCCAAGCACGTGGACCCCCTGAGTCTGTCCTTTGCAAGCAATGACTTTATTCCTCAGCTGTGATGTTGGGAAACTCCTGTAAGACTTTCTTTCTCACTTTAAGACCCCCTTGATGTCATTCTGTTGGTATTACTATTTCTTTTTAAATCAGTCTTTCTTTTTCCCCTCTTCTTCCTCCAAGGAAATTTTCCTTGCCAGCCTCAGATCCCACAGCATCCAACCACCTTCTGTCAGGGGGTTTAATTAATCAGAAGAAATAAAACAAATGATGCTTCATTTGCCAAAGGGAAGAAGTGTAGGAGGTGGGAAGGAAGACGAAGAGGACAGAGAAATCTTAAAAATGTAAAAAGAAAGCAGAATTCTAAGATATAAAGCCTAAGCCTTTAGGATGTTTTATTCCCAAAGAAGTATCTCTTACTACAGGCAGTGTTTTTTTATAGTTATCCACTCTCACAATACCAACAGAGCTGGCTGGATGAAGGGGTCAGAGAGGATGTGGAAGTGAGGGGAATTAAGGTTATTGTGTTTTGAGTGCTGGGATAAACTCTACTCATCCATTAAAATCCAAACTCAATTTCTCATGTTGCTCTCAGATGGCGTGAGTTGCATGTCTTGATTTATTTGTTTTTTGTTTTTTTTTTTTTGCTTTAATGGAGCTCCTCCCTGACTTTTATCCAGTTACCCATGAAAAGTCAGTGAGACAAGACCTACTTAAATCAAATGTCACAATCGATGATCATCCCGGGCCATCGTTTGTGTGATGTGAACTCATATTGCCGAAAGCGAGGAGCAGGGAGAGAAAAGAGGGTTGAGACTGGAATGAGAGAACACAAACCAGGCCACGTCTGAGAAGCTTGTGTTCCCCAGTTTATCACAACCATCTCTGAGGTGGGGTAACTTGGGTTCTGCAGGAAGCAAGCAAAACAGAGATGGCGAAGGGAGAAGCTGTGATTTTGTGCCAGAGATTGCATCTCTTTTCCACATCCTGACTAAATCAGAAACTTCTGTTCACAGAAGATTCCCCTCCACATATCAATTTATAACGAGCAGGATACAATATTTCAGCACTCACAGCACACAGAACGTGTCCAGTTTCAACTTTTTTAAATGAGAGACAATTTGAAAGGTTAATATTTTCCCTGAAATTTCTTGCTTTGTGTTTACCTACTTCCCCCTGAAAACAGCTTCTAGCCTTCAACAAATATTTGGCAGGAGTAAATTCTCTTAGTGTGAATAGAGTCACATGAGTTAAAAATCTCAGTGATACAAGTCTTCATAGAGGTTAAGAGGAAGAATCAATGTGTGAACTGAAGCCTTTTTTGGAAGTATTTCAGGAAGCTCTAGGTGAGGGAAGATGCAGAACCTTGCTGGATGGATTCACAGAATCACAGAATGGCCAGGGTTGGAAGGGACCTCAAGGATCATGAATCTCCAGCCCCCCTGCCACATGCAGGGCCTCATCCAATCTGGCCTTGAACATCTCCAGAGTAGGGGCATCCACAACCTCTCTGGGCAGCCTGTTCCAGCACTCTCTATAAAAAATTTCCCCCTAACATCCAACCCAAATCTCCCCTCCCTCAACTTAAAACCATTTCCCCTTGTCCTGCAGTTATCAACCCTTTCAAAGAGTTGATTCCCCTCCTGTTTGTAGGCTCCCTTTAGGTACTGAAAGGCTGCAATGAGGTCACCCCACAGCCTTCTTTTCTCCAGGCTGAACAAGCCCAGCTCCCTCAGCCTGTCTTCCTAGGGGAGGTGCTCCAGTCCCCTGATCATCTTCGTGGCTCTCCTATGAACCCTCTCCAACAGCTCCCTGTGTTTTATGTATTGGAGGCTTCACACCTGGACACAGCACTCCAGATGGGGCCTCACAAGAGCAGAGTAGAGAGGGACAATCACCTCCCTGTCTGTGCTGGCCACCCCTCTTTTGATGGAGCCCAGGATACCATTTGCCTTGCAAGCTGCAAGGGCATATTGATGGCTCATGTTAAGTTTCTCATCTATCAAGACCCATCTCCACAGGGCTGCTCTCTAGGACCGCTCCCACCAGTCTGTATGGCTGCCTGGGATTCCTCCGACCCAAGTGCAAAACTCAGGTCCCTCTGAATGGCATCCCTTCCTTCTACTGTGTCAACCACACCACTCAGCTTGGTGTTGTCAGCAAACTTGCTGAGGGTGCACTCGATTCTGTCATCGATATCATTGATAAAGATGTTAAAGAGCACTGGTCCCAAGACAGACCCCTGGGGGACGCCACTCATTACCGGCCTCCACCTGGACATAGAGCCATTGATGACCAATCTCTCTGCGGCCTTTCAACCAGTTTCTTATCCATTGAGTGGTCCACCCATCAAATCCACATCCCTCCAATTTGGAGGTAAGGATGTAGTGGGGGACCACGTGAAAGGCCTCGCTCAAGTCCAGGTAGACAAGGATTGATGAGGACTGACGAGGCTCATTGCCATGTTGTTCCATGTTTATACACAATTGCTCATAATTCAAAGGACTGAGTCATTGCCTGAAATCTAGTCCCACTGTTTCTGCAATCTGAATTAGGTTCAGCATCCAGAACATTGGTATGTATGGATTTGCATAAGATGTATGGTGTTAGATTCCGAGAATCCCAAGCCTCCTGTTTCATGAAGGAAACTCAGTGAAGCCATACAGTCATGTTAAGTTACTGACATGTCAGAGTTAATAAGATGAGCAGGAAGGAAATGTTGCAGAGTTAGCACCACACTGCAATTCAGTGTGGCTTCCAGTCTGCAACTGATCTGTATCCAGTCAGCTTTGAGTAAAAATCCCACAAGCTGCCTTTACTCCTTTGGATGTATAAACCCAGTTGGGTATTCAAGCCTTTGAATTCATCGCTACGTTTTGTCTTAGATCCCTTAAGGTCTTGTGCCAGCCTTCCCAATAGCCCCTGAGGGGTTCATGGCAGCTCTGTGGTGAAAGTTTTGTTCCTCGTTAATTGCCCCCTTGAGATTATTCAAAATGCGAGAAGTGCTTTTGGTTGAAATATGCAGGCAAGGAAGATCTTACCAAGCCCTTCAAACTGTCAGGATAGTTCAACTCAGAAAAAAATATACTGGGGAGGTTCATCCCTTCTTCATAGTGGGCTCTGTGGAGTAAATCTAACTGTAGGCCTTCAGTCAACAGACATATTTGCTTTGCCCATGTGTTGAGTTGGCCAGACTCCATATAAGCACAGCACCGAACCTTGCCTAATATATTTTGCTTTGCAGAAGGCTCAGTAGCCTGGAACAGAGCTGCAGTAACCTCTGCTTCATGATGTCCTGCTGATTGGAGGTTCAGGTTGAGCAGCCTCATGCCTGCCAACAAAATAGTCTGGACAAGTCCTCAGAGGACTGCCTGTTCCATTCCCAAATTCATGCGTAATTGATTTTTCTTTTTTTAATTTTTTTTTTTTTCTACCTTGAGCTCTTGCTATGTCAGAAACCATCTCACTTCCATAGCTGCGGCAATAGGTATTGGTACTGCGCCAATCTAATGACAACCTTGACTGTGTGCTCCCACACCTTTGTGTACTGCTTAATCACTTTAAATGGAGGGTCTCTGGTACATCTGCTGCATGGTGGGGTCCCTGCTTCTCTGTCCTCTCTCCAGCAGAGATCACTGATGTGGAAATGTGAAACGTGCTGAATAAAAAGCCTGCAGCTGAGGAAACCAAGTGGGAAAGAGATCCTAAGAACAAGGGGAGTTTAGTGATGTTAGTCTCTGGCATATAGTAGCTGGTTATGGACTTAGTCCCAGGGAATGCAGAGAACTAGATTAGGAGTAGTTACAACACGTGTTTGTTCTTGGTATTGCAAGGTGTGGTCAGTGGCAGATCTCTCGTGTTGACAACAAAGGAGAACCATTGCATGCCAGCATTTTCCGTAAAAATCCCTGCATATGAAGAAATGCCTTGTCAAGTAGCATAAGAGCAGTGAAGTGATGTATGGTATGACTAGATGCTGCTCCCTGGGGAGGATATACATCTTATTTTTCCTTTGCTTGCTTCAGCTCCTCCCTTGCCAGATGGATGTTTGTAGTCGGTGGAAGATTTTCACCTTCTTTTCATCCTCCAAGCTTCAGCAACAGCCATTCCCAGAAGAACTCATTTGTAATCGTTCTAGTGTAGGCAGAGCTTTCTGCTGTTTCCTCATTAATTATCTTTGAAGTTCCGCACTGGATGTGAAAGGTCTGATCTCCTCTTGCAAACCTGTGACTTTTACACACCTCACTACGAATATCAGATTTTTAAACCCAAATTTAACACTGGTGTGTGTGGGAGCAGAGTGAAGTCCAAAGAAAGACAGGGTCAACCTGAAGTAACTCATGGGCCTCTCTCCTCTACAAATGTATGTGTAGTGTGATGTGAATGTTGATTGAGTTGATGTATAATCAGACAATTAGGAGAAAAGTTCTTGCCACGAAATTGAGCTGGTAGCGTTTGCTGAGCATCTTCATCATCTTTTTGTTTTGTTTTGTTTTTTTAATGTGTTACTTTCTCTCTTTCAGAACATGGAAAAGGTGCTGGTCCCTTCTGTCACGTTAATTGTAGGCTGTGGAGTATCTTCGCTGACACTTTTGCTGTTGATTATCATTTATGTCTCTGTTTGGAGGTATGGCTTTCATTCTTTTCTCTTCTTACTGGGGAAAGTAACTGTCTCTTGATCTGCATGGATTCTGGAGGTTTTGCTGTCCCATTTTGGGTGTCTGTTGCCTGAGGAAGAACTACTTTGTAATGAGTGGGTCTTGTAAAAAGTCATCATGGTGGCTTAGTTGGCATTACTCTTTCCTTTTAGTGCCAGAGAAATTAGTACAGTGAAATGAGTATTATGACCTCATGTAGTTTCATTGTTCTGTTTTCAAAAGCTGTGTGTGCTGTTTTCTATGCCTTTATATAGCCCAGGAAACCTTGTTTGCAGAGAGGTGGACGTGCACTGCCTCCTGGCAGGCAAGTTGCTTCAAGGTATTTTGGGCTGGGTCTTTGATAACATCAAAACATCCTTGATCCATTATGAAAACACCTGGCCCGAAGTACTAACAGTACTTTTCAGGAGCTTAAGTGTGGACTGTGAAGAAGTGTTACATCTTGTGGGCTAAACAATTCTCTAATCCCTTAGCTTTGTTCTGCCTTTGGCTTCAGATGTATATGAGATTCCTTGATACATCGCATTTCAAAGAGCTCCTGTACACCTATGTGGAGATCAGATGCAACCTTAAAGTGCCCCTTCGTAGGGGTGAGAGTGATTTTATAGGAGAGTTGTATTAAACAAAGGTCCACATTGGCCCACATCCCTGTAAAATACATGTTGGTGGACTATTTCAAGTCTGAGAACCCAAGATATGCATGGGATTCACAGCATTCCACAAGAACTGAGTTTACACTATGTAGACCCATGCCTTTCCTAAACTTGTGGCAGACATGCTGAGAGCTTCATTACTCTAGATAAACAAAAGAGGAAAATCAGAACCAGGTGAATGACCATGAAATTAAAAAGGAATGGCTACAAAGAATGTACTGTTCATGACCCTTTGTGAGAAGAGATCAGTGCAGGACTCTCACTTTTCAAATCACTCTTCTTAGTAGGAAGGAAAAGGTAAATTCATTTTAGATTTGTGAATTGAGATAATGTTTTCTACCCTTTATTAGAGGAAAGAGACAAGAGAGTTAAAAATGAGCAAAAAGAAAATGCACCTATTATTGATACTGTGACAGATAGTGGCTAGTTAATTATGGTGAGTGCTCTGAGTTGAAGACTGATCATAATAACATTTATCTAGAACTCAGGTTTTTCCGTGCCTGGGGTATCATTGGATCTGCTCAAGTCCTTGTCCTCTCCTGCTTTTCCTCAGGCTGGGCAGCACTGGGCAGCGCTGGTAGGTGACTTACTGGTGTCACTGGTGTCAGGATCAAGTGGAAAGTTAGGAGAGAGGAGTGAAGAGCAAGTGTTGGAGTCTCACCCTCTCTTTCCTATCAGAAATAAGTTCAGGATCTGAAACTTAAGTTCAGACATGAGGTTGAATCAGTTTGGAGCATGGCGGAGTCATTTGGAGTAATGCAATATGTCTTCTTCCAGGAGCATGCCCCTCAATATTTACTGTCATTGAGGACAGTAAAGTTAATTGTCTGCCCTGTTTAAAATATACCCTTTTTAATTTCCAATTGCAGCCTTTGTGTTACTATGCCTACGCCCAAAATGATCAAGTTCAGTATGAATGGGGGGACATGTCTATGGAAGGCTTGAATGGGCATTTCTGATTTAGCAAGGGATGGACATGCATTTCCAAGTGATCCTGAGACCAGATATATCTTGATTAAAGGGCTCTCTATCCTAAGTCTCTCTGTGTAAATATTTGTAAAGCATGATCAAGTGATCTCTAGAATTTCTCTTTGGTGCGCTGAGTTTGTTTCATTTCTTATCTGTAGATCATGTTTTCATGTTTTCTGAATTTCACAGCATTCCCGTGGCTGAGCCCTGAGCACTCTGTGTGTCCTTTTTATTTTAGGCATAGCTGCTGGACATGAATGTGCTTTTCTAATAATGGTCTCAGGAACATCATATTCAACATTATCTCCTGGCTTTCACTTCGTTTTGTCCCTAGATGTTATACAGTTTATCAGACAGCAGCTGGAGGAATGTTCACAAGGGGATCAGCAGTATTATTCCAGCTGTTGTTGCTAAAATACAGGAGCCATATCAAAGTAAACTACCTATCTGCTTAGTCTTCTGTGGAGCACACCCACCAGAGCTCAGCTGTTTTGGGGAGCTTTGGCTGTGAAATTTCTCATTCAGACCTCTGGACAAAGGCATCTGGAGCATGTACACATAGACTCAGCTTGAGTATGATCCTCTTCTGATGAATAGGCTCACTGAGGCTGACAATCTGGAAACCTTCCCAGAATTTTACCCAACTAGGATTTGTTTATACATGGGAAGCAGAAAGATAGAAAGACAAAATAAAAAGGGGAAAGGAACACGGTGAAGAACAAGAGGCAGAGTAAAAAGGAGGTGATCCCAACTTTGGGCTGCATATCAAAGAGGAAATGGTTTTGTTCCATTCAAAACCTCCAATAATGGTTGTTTCTTAGTGGCACCTACTCAGCCATCAGCATGACCAGCATGAGTTTCTTGATGAAAGTGATCGCTTCAGAGGCAGCCAACTTGGCACAGTCTCACTTCATGCTGGACATTGTTTCCGTTTGGCGGCTGTTGGTGGCCTGTTGGTGGACTCGCTCCAGTTCCCAGTAGACAGATGGCTGCAAAAACTCTGCTACAGATGGTCCATCTCTGGCCTTATTAGCAGCCTTGGCAGAGAGGTCAGTTGACACATTGGGCCTTAGAAGTGAAGTGCCCTTGTTACCTCTGGTTATGGTTGTCCTAGGTCACAACTGGAAACCATGTGTGTTGGCCATGTTTTCCACCAGCTGTATGGAAAACAGAGGCATTCAGAAAATAAATAATAATAAGAAAAAGATCTTCTCGCTTGAAAGCTGACTTGAAAAATGAAAAGTGGGGAGAAACAGAATTGCTCATGGGTCAGAACAGATTGAATGACTTAGAGCTGTACTTCTTTTCACTTTGGTCTGTGCCACTCCTTGACAGGATGGTGTTTCAGAAGCAGCCTGATGCATTTTCCATCCCTGAACCCAACTGCAGTTCAACAGCCTCCGGAATCAGAGTGACCTTTCCATAGCATGGAGATCAATGCTTGCTATCAAATAGCTCTTCCACCAGCCTGTCAGCATGTAGGGCACGGCAGCAGCTGAATGAATGCTGTATCGCTGAGAGATATCGGTGTAAGCTTTTTTCATTCCCTGTCCATAGAGGCTGAAGATTGATTTAGTGGTTGTCAGCAAGCTCTCAAGTGGCTTTTAATGCTTGCTTTAAACCCAAGAGCTCTGCATTTTGCTGGGGAGGCTAAGGCACTCTGTGGTCCTAGTGGAAGGCAGCAGGAATGAGTAAGTTTGTGCGGAGAAGGATGTGTAGGAGCACCACAAGAAAGCAAAGTTGGCTCAGTGTTTGCAGAGAAGAGGGGAGCAGAATGGATACAGAGAGACAAACTGCAGGGTTTTCCTATGTTCTCCATCTGTCTTGGGCTTCCCCACATCCCACAAGACCCAGGCCAGAGCAGAAGCTCCCTGCATTTGCAGTGAGAGGTTTTCCAAGCTTTGGTGTCTGTGCGCAGTGTGCTTTGATAAATAAGGCAGTCCATGTTGCAGATAAGGGATAGTGAGAAAGCACTCTGCAGACCTCTCATCTGGCTAAGCATCAAGGCCTCCGTGTTTTCCATCTCTGCCATGAGTTCCTGCCTTCTTTTGCCAAATGTCCTGGATAGGAATCCTGATTTCCTTCTGTGGAATATCTCTGAGCTAGAGGTGATGCAGGAAAAAAAAGCAAGAATCATAGCTTGTAAGTGTTCAGTAGTGAGGTCAGGCTGACAAAGAGCAGTATGGAAGCATTAGGAAAGCTGGTTCTCAGCTCTATTTGCAACTGATAAAAGACGTGATAGGCATGAAGAAGGGTTTCTGTAGGTACGACAGCACTAAAGGATGATCCAAGGAAATGCTGAATAGGAAACATGTTCTGATGGAGAAGGACATGGAGAAAATCAGGGTAATTAATCACTGCCCTCTTCATCTTGGTCTACTGCCAACATTTGCTTCCATGGACCCAGGTCCCAGAATCTTGGAGAAGAAACTGGGGAAAAAAGTCACTATGCATCACCATGAAGGAGAAAACTGAGAACTATGTAAAATAGATATTTGCATGCCCATGGCTTCAAATGGGATGATTAGTGTGTTGAGATGGAGCTTGCTGTACAGTAGTGCCAGTATCTATCATCTGGATAGGTTCAAGGTGGTTTGAAGAAGTGTTATACTCATCTTTAAAAAGGGCAAGGAGTTGGATCTGCAGAACTACTTGCTGTTCAGTCTGTTCACAGACTTTGGAAAGATTAAAGAGCAAATAGTTAAAAAGACTTTCTCCAAGCAAAATGATGGACAAGAGAGTGATTGGGAATAGACAGCACATATTTTTCAGGGACAGATTGCACCTGACTGACCTGCTTTCCTTCTGTGATGGGATGGCTGGTAGCTTGGATATTGAAGAGAAGTGGGCATTGTATATTTTGTCATTACCGAGGCCTTTGACACAGGCATCTTAGTAAACAAACTAGTGAATTTTGGATTGGATTAATCTGCTAAAGCAGATTAAAAGCTGGCTGTAGTTCATGCAGGCTCTGGGTAATGGTTAAAGATTTGAAGCCTAACCAGCAGCTGGTTACTAGCAGTATCTTTCAGTGATTGGTGCCAGGACCAATATCGGTTAATATCTTCATTAACAGCCTGGATGATGGGGAAAAAGGCACTCTTGGCAAGTTCTTGGATGTCTATACCAATATGGAAAGAGTGATTCATACGCTGGAGAGCAGCAATGACAAGCTTCAACAAATTGGAGATACAGGCTGGAGAAATTGTACACCAAAGACAAATGAGTACTTCTGCACCTGGAACTGAACAACTACATGCAGCAGGACAAGCTGGAGGCTGGCTGGCTTGGTAATATCTCCAAAGAAGCCTCAGGGGATCCAGCTGGTGACAATTTATACATAACTCAGCAATGCAACTGTTCAACAGTGAAGGCCTGCACTCATATATAATATAATTATATATATATAACCTGTTGGTAATATAACCAACAGGTCAAGGGAAATTGTTATTCCCCTCTACTTGACTCTCTTTAAGGCCACATCTGGAATAGTATTTCCATAATACCCCACAATATCCCCCAATACAGGAGAGAGATCAACAAACTTAATTGAGTCCAGTTTAAGGAGCAATAGAAAATAATGCTCAAGGAGAGGCAGAGGGAACAAGGAAAGCTTGGGTAGATTGAAGAGAAGAAGTCTGTTAAGGAGGAGACATGGAGAAAGTGGAGTCATAAAACTCACAGATGGATACAGTGCAGGATTTAGGGGCAAAGACCACCAATTGCATCGTGAAAAATTCCAACTGGATTGAAGAAAAAATGGCTCTTCACCATGAGTGGTTAAAAACTGAAGCAAATCACCCAGAAGAGGTTATGGCACTTCCCATTCTTAAACATTTTTGAAATTTGATTGGACAATGCCCTGAAAAACATGACAGGACTTGGAAATCAGCTCTGGTTTGGGCAGAGGATTGAATTGGCAACTCCAGAGGGTTTTTTTTCCAAGCTAAATTATTCTGATATTCTGATTCTACAAGGTGCCAACTCACAGTTCATTTTTTGAAGGTTCAGGGATCCGGGGAACAGGAACTTCTGGTAGATAACAGCAAGCATGGAGAAAGAAAAGGCTTTTCAGGGGGGAAAAAATGTGAAAACAGCTGTTTATTAACCCCTTACTTTGACATGCAGACTACATTTACACTCAACTCATTTTTTACTATTTCTTTTTTTAACAGAGGAAATTTCCTAAATGAGCATTAATGCCATAGTGTTCCTACACAGACTTAGCACATCCCATTCTTACCAGCACATTGTCCAAATCCCCCTTTCTATCCCATAGAAGCTGCTGACTATACATTTGACACATATTTTACTTCACACAATCAGAACATCCGAAGATTGATGGCTTGATATCCTACAAATGGAGTAAGATTCAGATGCCCCTTACTATTGTATTTGAAACAAGTAAAACAGCAGAATCTGGGATCAAACTGGCTAAGGAATAACTCCAGGCTTGTTTTACTTGCAGCAAATCCAGTTTCTAGCTGAGCTGGAAACCTAAATTTTGAAATGCGTTATGGGGTTGGAGTGTGTTTCAAGAAAGAACTACTTATAAACCAGTTTTCTAACAAAGCTGATGTAAAGTGAGTCTGCTTTTCATCAGTGACTGTTTTTTTTGTATCCAGAAAAACATATTCTCAACATTTGTATTTATCTAGAAGGAAAAATAGCAGGGAAGTTAAAATTCAAGTTTCACAGTCTCCAATAGATCTAAAGCACAGATTCTTTCTTGGCTCAATACATATATGCAGTAAACTCATCTTGTCCTACCAGTCAGAAATGCAGACTCTACAGCCAGAGTGTGACTGACACACTCTTGCTAAAATTAATTAATGAAATTAAATTCTTAGTATAAATAGTTGATGTACTGGAATATACAAAATAATCCTGCATTAGCCTCCAGGGATGAGCTGTCTGGTTAATAGATCTGTTTCTAATTTTTATAGACATCCGTTCCTACTCTTTACTCATCTGGTATTCAGGCAGGGCACTTACTGCATCACTGAGATTACTCATACGTGTAAGGGTTGGTTATGGTCAGGTCTTGAGTCAATCCTTGAAGACTTGCACTTTTGCAATTCCCTTTTAATTTTATTAGATACATAAAAGCACCTTCAAAGAAATTTTCCTCTGTAGCCAGTCATTTGAATTAACTGTGCACATACTTCAGCAGCAAGTTGGTGCTGTGCTGCACATTATAAATGAGAAATGACAAGTGGCTTGCTCCTGCAAGGTGCTGAAGGCAACAACTTCCTAACTTGGATTCCTGATGTCCCAGACCCACGGTTACAGCTACATATTTGGCCTAGTTTTGAGAAGCGTTAAACCTTTCCATCTGGAAAAACAAACAAACAAACAAAAAAAAACCCGAACCAACCACAATTTGTTTTCACTTCTGGACCTGTTGTTAGGTTAAACAAAGGGGAATGCTGAATCACAAGCACTTTGTTGTGAAGATGCATGCGTTCGTAACCTGCTTTCATCGCCAGCATGCTTGTGGCTCTTCTTATTTGGGAATCTTTCCATGTGTTGCGTGTATGTTTTCTTCTAAGCTCCTTTCCAAGTCCCCTACCAAGTGAGCAGAGCTGAAGGGGACTACAGCACTCAATACTATTTTAGAAAAGGTTTAGAGTAGGGAGCAGGCTAGCCCCTGATTTTTTGGCTCATGCTCATAACTCCAACATTGATGGGGAGGATTGAGAGGTCTGTGCACCACAGCTCTCCTCCTCCTTTTTCGCCTTGTACTTGTCTGTTTAACACACGAGATCTGAAGAAAGTGGGCCGTCTCTTACCATGGGATTGTGTAAAGCCCAGTGGCTTCATGCAAGGTGTAACAGGGTGGATCTCCTTCCCCTCTTCTCTTTCTGCAGGTATATCCGCTCAGAGCGCTCGGTCATTCTTATCAACTTCTGCCTGTCCATCATCTCCTCCAATGCTCTCATCCTGATCGGACAGACCCAGACGCGGAATAAGGTAGGAGATACGTTGGACCTTGTTTGTTTGTTTGCTTTGCTCCTGATTTAGCGTTGAAACAATCCGCTCAGCAGCGCTTCCTCTTTTTTCTTCCATCTGTTAATTAGCGACGTGTCAAAGACATGACTAAATGGCAGATTTCAATTTTCTCTCACTCGCTCTTTGATAATTTGTCAGCATCCTCAGGGTTTTGATTAAAACCAATGTGATATTTTTGAATATCTGCCTAGAGTAGCTGGCACATGGCACGGTGAAAAAACATGGTTATTTGCGAGGCTTTAACCGTTTTATTTTCCAAAAATTACAAAGGAAGACAGATTGAGGAAGAGCTAAAAAAGCAATAACACTCAGCATCTCAGCATTACATTTATTTCTACAGCAACGTTTATGCTCCAAGCCTAAAGCACTTGGCAGATGTTAAGGAAAGCAGCCACCAAGAACACCTTTCTTGGAGTGGGAAGCGTCGCTGTGCACATCATGCACATTGCAGAGCTGAGACCACAAGAGACTTGGAAGTCACAGTGCCAATTGAGCAGTGAAGATGAGAACTGAGCATGGATTTTCAAGCCATGGGCATAGATTGCAGGGTACTATCATGGCTTTTCACATTAGAGATGCAGATGGAGAGGTGTTATGTTATTGTATGACTTTTCTCCAGCTAAATTACTTTCTCTGTTGGCAGCTAGCATAACAAATCACTGCTCATGTTTAATATTTTCCTATTGTACATCTTCCTCGCTCTTCAAGTGCTCCAGCCATATTAACTCCTCTAAGCAGAAAACTGAGGCCAAAAGTGTCTTCCAGCTCCTCCTGCTGCTGAAGTCACGATCAGAAATCAAAATTTAGCTTTTAATTAACAGTAACCAGCCAATTTATTCGAGTCTGGACCTTGACATCCAGAGCATGCTGTCACTTTTGGAAGCATTTCTGCAGAGAAGCCTCGGGCTTTAATGAATCACAGAGATTCATTGCTATGCGAGGCCTTTTAGGTCAGAGCAGGGTGATGTTTTAAAGAAAGCTTTACAGCTACTTGAGTCATACCTGTGGAGAAAAGTTTGGGGAGATGCAGACAAGTGGCCCTGTTGCTCTTAAACCAACACTGTTCAGAAGCATTGCAAAGCAGAACTGTCTTTCATGGTCAGCATGGTTTGCCTGGAGCGAGAATTGAGAAGAGGGTGATCAGCTCTGTATTGCTATTCTAAGGGTGCATTGCAACCCCAAGTGTGTGCGAGGAGCAACTTTTCATAGAACGAAGACTGAGAGATGCTCATCATGTCCGACCATGAGTGGACCTCCTATTTGGTTATCCTTCTTCACTCCAGGATAGGAGGTGGATATTGTTAACCCTCTCCCATCTCCTTAACAACAGTTGGGAGCTCAGTTTCCTTCTTACACTTTTTCTCATAGTTGCTTTGGATGTTAAGTGTCAGAGCTGTTAGTGAGGATTCAAAGCTCCCGGCTCTAATTGCGTGAGGCAGATTAGTTCTTTGGACATACATATGCATGAAACACCATAAATAGAAAGGTTATTCTTGGGATTCCACTCTGCTGTCTAGTAAACAGTCTCTATCACAGAGCACAGAAAGAAAACTGAACAAAGAAGGGATGAAAGACTGTAAATTTGGAACCTATTCACATTCAATCATTGATAGTGGAGCTTCCTAAAATATTAGTGATTGAATTATAATTGCAGTTACACTAGGAGAATTTCTACAGTACTAGTTTCCTGGGAAATGCCAAATACTCCCGTCATTTTCGTCTGCATAACCTCAAAGGCAAGACTCCACACCTGGATTTGCTACGCTTTTTAAAGATGAAAGACCCAGGAAAAGGCTAAAAAATTACAGTCAGCAATAATGTGATACAAAAGAAATGAATTCAGTGTATCTCAAAGATGGGGCTATGTGCTGGATGGAAGCAAATTTCTCCTCTTTTAGAAAAACAAGGACTAATGGCCTTTACAACCATATCTCCTTGGGGAAATTGGGAAAACAAGAGGGAAAATTCTCTTCTTCCCAAATCTGAGTAAAATTATCTGCTTGTTTTTAATGGATTTTAAATGAGGGCCATTCACTGTCATAAATGTGCATTGTTTTTGTGGTGCTCCTCTCTCTTCTTTTCCCCTTTCCCTCAGAACTACCTAGTTGAGTGAGTATTTCTGGAAAATAAATGTCTCAGGTGGAAAAATGGAAAGCAGACGTCTTTTCTCCCCTTTACAAACTGCTGGCAAAGAGGGCAGAAAAACTCTGCTGATGCAGAACAAAATCAGCTCAGATAAACTGATGCTGTCATTTCTGGCAGTAGTTAAAAAAAAAAAAAAAAAAAAAAAAAAACAGTTGTAAAATATACATTTCTTGAAGTACATTCCTGGAACTAACTTGTTTGCTGTAAGCTGATGCATAGCAACCACCTTTGGAAGATTCTTTTGAAAACATGAAAATTACTTCAAATTATCACATTGAGCTGGGCTATTTGTAGTGAACTGTCATGTACTTGCAGGCAGAATACCAAAGGTTTCTGTGTCAAATACAAATACGGAATGAAAAGGCAGTTCCTGTCTCAAAGAACGCAATGTCTAACTTTTGTTCCCAACTTCTGATAATGTCTGTCAGTGCCAGTGTATGAATTGAGGGCAATTCAATAAAATCATGATAAAAGATGCTCGATGCATGAGAGCTCTCTGCTGAAAGATGCTGGTGGATAAAAAAAGAGGAAGGTTCAGTGACCGTAAACCCAAAGTCCACGTTTCCTGATATAACTCAAAGCGCAGAAATTCTTTGCTATTCACTCCCACCCCCATCTGTCCTCAATGCCTTAAGCCAATTTTTTTTTTTCACCCAGAGTCACTTTTAAAGTTTATTTGCTCTCCCTTCTCTTTGGGAGTTTCTCTCCATCATTTTGTTTCACGTTCATTCACAGTTTCTTCTTCTCCAATGGTGCAAATTAAGCATAGCCCTGGCAGAGTTAACAGAGCGGCACCAATTTGCACCAGTGAATGAGTTGGGTTTGCTGAGTTAAAAACAAAGATGAGCTTGTCAGCTTTCCAGCCCATCTCCCCGCCGCTACAGGATTGTTCTCCATAATGCATTTGCTAGTACTTTCCCTAGTTTAATTTTAAATGGCTTGAGCTCTCTCTGTGTCCCTTGAGAGATTTCCTTGCCAAGTTATAGAGCTCACCATTATGAAATTTATTCTGCCATTTCATTAATTTTTCCTTCCCCTCCCCCCCCCCCCCTTTTTTTCTAGTAGCTACGTGCTCTTGGACAAATCATGCTTTCAGCCCTTACCAAGCCCCTACCAGCCATGTTTTTACCCCAGCTCTCACACCTTAACTATGTTTCTTTGCAAAGAGCCATCTTTCCCAGTCTGAATTGCCTTTCTCTGATTTCATTACTGCAAAGCACCGATGGTACGGTGCTTTGCAATCCTTTTGAGCTGAGATTAGTGCACAGCTTAATAACTGCTCCATCCTCTCTGAAAGCATCAGGGATTTGATTTGATCACTGGAAAATAAATGTATACTGCTGAAGCCAAACAGCACAAGGACAAGGCATGGATTCAAACTTCAGTATGGAGATGTGTCAGGGAAGGTCATGTGGGAGATCAGGAAAAGGTTCTTCACCAAATGGTGGTGGACATGGAAGGCTCACCAGGGCAGTGGGCATGGCACCAAGCTGCCAGAATTCAAGGAGCATTTGGATACTGCTCTCAGACATAGGGTTTGAATTTTGGGTGGTCTTGTGTAGGGCCAGGAGTTGGACTCAGTGATCCATATGGGTCTCTTCCAACTTGGGATATTCTATCGTTGTATGAAAATAGTTAAACACAGGCTTGGAGCTCTCATTTAAGAACAGTCAGTTTCTGTGCAATGCTTAAATTTGAAACAAACACTTCAATCCTATGCTAGGTCAAAGCTCGAGGGGAAGGCTGCCTCTTCCTGAGAAGTCTTTTCCTTTGCTGATCCCTGTGACCTTCCTTTCCTTCCAGAGCCCGATTTGGAAGCTGCTCCCTCCGCCTGCCTGTCTCCTCTCTCCTCTTTCTCCCCTCTCATATGTGCTCCTTTCCTCCTTTCTCCAGGTGATATGCACGCTGGTGGCGGCTTTCTTGCACTTCTTCTTCCTCTCCTCTTTCTGCTGGGTGCTGACCGAGGCCTGGCAGTCCTACATGGCCGTGACGGGTCGGTTACGGAACCGCATCATCCGCAAGCGCTTCTTGTGTCTTGGATGGGGTGAGGATTGTGGGTCTGCATAGAAGTTCCATTGGGCCAGGGGAGAGAAAACAAACAAACAAACAAACAACATTGTTCCATCCTAGCGTGAAGATCAAAGAGTATTCTGGATTGGTGCTGTGCAAAAAGCTTAGTTTGACACCCTTAGGTGTGTCAAAAAGGGCGCAGATGGTTGAAAATGGGCAAAAGCCAAAAGCTGCTATCTCCACCCAACAGCAGTATGAAGGAGATGAGCTGGGAAGGGGCTGTGTGTTCATTCCAGGGGCACACTGGGGCTGGGGGGGTTCTCCTGGCTCTGGCTTTCTTCCCTGCTTCTCTTTTATTTTTCTCTCACTGTCTCCTTCCATGTGCGACCCGGGGATAAGCAAGCTCTGAAATGCTGTCTCCATGGCAGCAGGACCTTTCATAGACAAATAAACTATGAGACCAGTGCAGATGCTTGTAACTAATTTTCCTCCCTCTGCCTCTTCCGTATGTTTAATTTATTAGCTTTAAATGATGCATTCTGTAGTTGAAAACAAACGCAAACCCGTAACCTGGGCTCTCAAAGCAACATGAAGCTTGTGTTTGAAAGGAGTGACTGAACAAAAAGTTGCTCAAAAGCAAGCAGAGGAAAAAAGAGAAAGGGAGAATCAGAGAGCACTGTGCTTCTAAGCTGTATTAGTGGCTCATTTCACTACTGAAGTCGAGCATTTTGCCCCAGGCAAGATATTTCCGATGGTTATGAAGGGCCCTGATGTGATTTATTTTTGCACATCAAGAGCCATCCTCCTTCCAGCACCTGCATCTCTTCAAGTTTTGCTTAGGAGACAAAACAAATGGTGGGACTGAAATACAGTGCTTGTGCATGGCAAGCCTGTAACCACACACATGCAAAACACAGGCACTGTGTGCTTTTTTTGTGCTTGTGCATATGTTCCAATACAAACACTGTATGTATGACTTGAGGAACATCAGGGATATCAAATGCAAAAGACTGACAGCTTCTCTAGAGAATAAAGGTAACAAAAAGGGATGTTTTCTGATTATAAATGCTAGGACAGATGAGAGTGTTAGCCGAGGGAATTTTGGATGAGCGACATTCATAATTGTAATTTGTACAGATTTAAGGGAAAAAAAAGCCTGCATGTGTAGGAGCATAATTTGCACTGTTAGTAAAATGTAGCTATTCCTGGGCTAGGATGTGCTGGCTGATAAATGGTGCATAATAACTGTTTGGAATAGGTTAGGACACAAAGTGAAGAACACTCTCACCTATTAAAGCAGCAAGGGAATTTCTGGTATTTAGCATCCTCCTAGACTTCAGCTGTAGTGCTGGGATTAATGGCATCTCTACGAGGGCAGAGGAGGTAAATAAGTTTTCAAGAGCATAATCTGAAATAATTATCTCAGTCAATGAGTTGATGGTTGGGCTAGATGATTTCAGTGGTCTTTTTGAACCTTAGTGATTCTGTGAATTCACGTTGTAATGGGCTGATCCTCCCCTTCTCCCCCCTTTGCTTATTAACATTTTTTCAAACTCTTGTGGGAGAACTTTGCCAAGTTCTCAGCTGTAGCTCATTGAAGCTGCTGTGGTTTTCATCAGCAGTGAGGTTTACTCCCAGTTTCCTGTTCTCCTCTTGTGTGTGCGATTTTGCCTTTTCAGAGAAGAGGTTTTTTGCAATTAGAAAAATATAAAGTTATTTAGACATGCAAACTGTTCCCTAGAAACAGTTCAATTGGCACATCTAGTCCCAGTGAAAAAGAAACAATTTGGTTAGTCTACTTACCACCATGCCATTGTTTCAATTGGATTTTTAATGTTGCCCTGGCTGAGGTTCTGACAGGGTCTTCACTTGTTTGTAACACTTATGGCTTTTGGTAGTCATTATTATCAAATGAACTTTTTCTAATGGGACGTGGTGATCTCATTACATGATTCTCCTGCTGTCCTGACAGAAAAAAAATCTTCATATCAGTTTTCCTATGCTTTTTTTTTTTTTTTTTTTTTTTTTTTTTTTTAATTATGAGTGTAGCACTCACTTTCTTCACAAACCCTTCTAAATTTGGCCACAGCACACACAGCGTATGGCACAATCCAGTTAGAAATAGCTTTCTTTCAAATAGTCAAGAATAGATTAAAAGTTTATTGGAAATATTTGGATGTATCTATTTTTAATCTGATCACATCCCAAGGCAAAAGATACAGCAGTCCTCACTGCTCTGCTCGTTGGCTTAACTACCATCGTGTAGCTCCCCTTTCCGATAAATGCAGCTTGTACATCTGATGAGTTCACAGCCTAAGTGTGCATTTCTGCATAATTATCACATCTAAGAGAAGTACTTTGTGAGGAACAAGTTGCTATTTCGGGCAGTCTTAGCTGACATTCTTCTTTCCGGAGCTTCATGCATCATGTTCTACTCTTAAAAAAATCCTTTATGACTTCTTAGTGTGCATATCATGGGATGCCACCCTGATGTCATTACAGTGAATACCATGCAGGTTATATGTCCAAAGTATCTAGATGAGTTGCGAAGAAAGCTCAGCAAGATGGAAAGTAGTCATTACAGAACTTCTTTAGAAAGAGACATTCTGAACCCCCCCCTGCTCAATGGCTTTGGACTGCTCAAACATGAGCTCTGCTTGGATGTCTCATATGGGAAGAGAAAGTCTTTTCTTTATAACTCTCAAACTGGAACAGGCTGCTTAGGGAATCAGTGAAGTCCCCATCCCTGGAGTTGTTCATGATGTGGAGATGTGGCACTTAGGGACATGGTTTAGTGGGCATGGTGATGATAGGTTGGTGGTTGGACTGGATGATCTCAGTGCTCTTTTCCAACCTTAATGATTCTATGAAATTCTTTCTTTTCCAGACTACTCAGCCTTAGCACCTCCCAACTATCTGCTGACCCTCGCAGTTAATCAATTTTGCATCGATCTATATTGCTGAGTAACCACCCTGTCAGCAGAGTTGTTTGGATACTGTGTCTGGACAGCCCTACAGACTACAGCATCTTCTACAGCTGCCTGCTATGACCTCTACAGCACGCAAATTAGGGTCTTGTCAAAAAGCACTAATCCTAGCTGGCTACTGAGCCTGCTAATTCCTAATGGGATTTGCCCATCTTTAGCATTGAGACAGCTTAATGCTTTGTTTTAGAAGTAGTAGGACTATAAAAAGCCACACAGAGCCCTGCGTAGCTGAAGAGCCAGATGTTCCCAGACCACACCCAGACATTTTTATAGGGAAAGGAAAGAATCACGCTGGGGATAGTGAATCAGAGAAGTACTCAGTTTCCTCTGTAGATCCTAGAGCATTTTACCAGGCAGGAATAGTAAGGATAAGTAGGCTGTTAGCAGGATACAACATCTTTTATTAGTTCAAATGTGCCTAGGTATTCAGAAACCCAACCTTATCAGTAGTTTTAAGTTTCAGTCCAGCATTTCACAATAACCAGCAGGTTTTTGTTATTTTTCTTCCTTATCATCTTTTTTTTTTTTTTTTGAGATTTTAGCATTAGGATCGAGGACATTGCCTCACCCCCTTATGAACCTGAAATGAGACCCCATGCTGGTATTGTTAGCTCATGACATCATGAAGACAAATTGCATACCATGAGCATCAAATAGCCTCCAAGGCACAAACTGCTCATCCTTCGTAGCACTCATAATGAAGTGTGCCCTCTCTCCAAGGTGGCTGTTTTTTCTTAGTTTGTTCCCCTTTTGGGTGCAAAAGGGGAGCAGTTCTCTGGCATAAAGTAAATACTCTGGTTTGCAGAAAGACTGATGTTCAGATGCTTCTTTCCATTGTGCTTCAGAGGGACTTGCTCCATTATCGTAGACTCATAGAATCATAGAATGGCTTGAGTTGGAAGGGACCTCAAGGATGATCAAGTTCCAAGCCCACACCATAGGGTAGGGCCACCAACCTCCAGATCTGGTACAAGACCAGGATGCCCAGGACCCCATCCGATCTGGTCTTGAACATCTCCAAGTATAGAGGATCCACAGCATGCAGGGATATAGCTGGATAGGGGGAACAGTTCTCCCATTTCCTGCTCTGTCTCATCTGGAGCAAGATTTCAACCTGAGTTGTTCACATATTATGTTAAGAGCAAATACAGCTTTTAATCTCTGCCTTGCTAGTTCTTTTGGGTTAAGTGGTGCCTGAATATTCCACCCCCAAGAAATGTCCTGGTATATTCCTGGCTGTTCTGCATCCCTAAGAATAAAATAAATGAATTTTATGCATCTGCATGTACTATCATTCCCTGCACAACTGCTGAGACCACAGCAGGATACGAGCTGATTACAGCTGACAGCATTAACTTCATTAGCAGACGTAACAAAGGTTCATGCTTCTGGCTCTGAAGGTCCTGAATTCAGACTCTGCCAAAGGCCCAGGCTTGGACAGATGGTGCTAGAATAACACAGGGAGAAATGGGGTATATTAAGTGGTTGAGTTGGAGCAGAGCTGCACGTATGTTAAAATAACCAATTTTCTCTTGTTTCATTTTCCATAGGGCTCCCTGCCTTGGTGGTTGCCATTTCTGTGGGATTTACTAAAGCCAAGGGGTACGGCACCGTGAACTAGTGAGTAATGGGGCTCCTCTTCCTATTCTTTTTTTCCAGTCTCATCTCCCATCATTTTGTCAAAAAAACGGTCACTGGCCCGCAGGAACAAAGGTAGGAGCTAAATTCTCATTGGCTTCCCATGGAAGTAGGAATGATAGGAGCTGAGGGAGCCTTCTGACATCCTCAATTCATCAGTTCATCTGAATGCTGTGCACTTGTCTCATCCCTGCCCAAATGTCCAGGGGAAACCTTAGGATAGCAAGTCTTCAGAGAAGGACTTACTGTGTGACAAGAAGCAACCCTCTTAGTTCAGTCTGAATAAGAGGGATGTTTGCACCATAAAGATGAGAATGCCAACAGTCAGCATTCAGATTTTATCTGCATTTGCTTCTGAATCATCTCTAATAGAATACCAGCAGAGACTAGGTACTGACTGAAAACTGTGTGTTCTTTTATAAGCAAATTCATAGGAACTGGTTAAACGAATGGCATGGTGGAGATGGGTTAATCTCTCCTCTCCTCTCCTCTCCTCTCCTCTCCTCTCCTCTCCTCTCCTCTCCTCTCCTCTCCTCTCCTCTCCCTTCCCCTCCCATCCCCTAAATCAGGCCCCTTCCCTACCCAAGTTCATCATTGTCCAGAGCCTTACTGGCCTGTGCTTTGCATCACACACAAACAATCTTTAAGAAATGCTGGAGATGTTGTCAGCAATAGATGAGGGTTCAGTATGCCCACTTAGAAAATGTCATGCAGAATCTGTGCTCTTTCTGAATCTCTACCAGATCCCAAATGCCATTTCTAATTCCTATTCTACCTTCTACTTCTGGGATTTTCCTCCCTCCAAGTTCATGAGCCCAGTTTATAAAGAGGAGGTACTGAGGTAATGGATGGAAGCTCCAAATATTTCTGCTTTCTTTCCTGTGAATAGACTGGTGTGAACTGGTGCTAAAAGCATGGTAGATCTTTTCCCATGAATGCAGCACCAGTCAGCATAAGAGAACACAAAAGAGCCTTGAAAGGAAGGGGGAAATGTGCAGATGATCATTCCCTGCCTCACTGCCCTGAATTGTGCATGCCAGCACCTCCTGACCCAGAACAAAGTCTCCCAGCCTGCAGCAAAAAGGGTGTCAAAACAACAAAACCTGCCAGGCTCCTTTGCTCTCAGATTGGCACATCAATGAGGTGTCCCACAAGCTGTGCAATGACTTTCCTTCATTCCCAGGGTACACAGGTTTAGTGGGCAATATTGGTAGTAAGTGTAGAGTTGGACTAGATGATCCTACAGGTCTTTCCCAACTTTAATGACTCTATGATTAACTAGAGCAGCTCCTCATTTTGCTGCCAGTCTTCTGAATTCTTTTAGCCCTTCAGTTTCTCTTTCTCCTCGCATCCAGGGGCTGGCTGCTGCCTTCCTCTCTGCCTCTATGGCTGGCTGGCTGGCTGGCTGCCCAGGAGTGGCAGGGGATCCTGTGCTCCCAGCAGGAGCCACAGACTCAGGAACACAATTTCTTAGCCCTGCTGTCAGGGTGCTTGTCACTGAAATAGGAAGGTATCTCAGGCATTGCATCGTGCTCCCACATTGCTCCTTTCCCCGCCAGCCTGTCCATTCCTCTCCTCTGCAAGTTCCTGTGATCATCAGCCGTGACTGCTGCAGGGCTTCGTGAGATGCTCAGTGAATTTGCACATGTGCACTCAGCTCTTTTCCATAGGAAAAACCTTCCGCATACATGCTGTGTCCCTAATGCCATGATGTGCAGAATATGAGCACAGGAAACAGCCTCCAGACACACATTTGTAGCACTAACGCCTTGTTGTGATTCCTGCTGTTGGTTTTACCAAGAGCCATCTTAGAGTGAACTCAAACCCATCACTGTCCCAAGCAGCATGCTGCAGGCACCTGTTAAGCAATCCCTGCTCTGACTCCATGCTACAAGGCACACACAGGCACATGCTGCTTCTCCAGGCTGATTTATGAGCATCTTTGCACCTGAACTTCATATTCTTATAACATGAAGCAAAGATCAGTAGGCCGAGACACAGGGTGATCCTACACTGCAGCACACTTCCTTTTTTTTCCTCTTCAAGAGGCATAAAAGCTCTGTTATATTGATGTGTTGGTTTTACCTTCCTTCTAGAAGGAAATCAATATTATACACCAGTAATTTTAGAGCTGAACTTGAAAACTCGAGTTTGTTCAGACAGAGTAGTCAGATTTAACAGTGTTTAATGTTGAAGACAAACGGAATACAGAATAGAATCTTGTTCCAGGATTATTGTGGTTTCTGACCACTGCAGAAGGGTTTATGATCATTGCAAAACTTGAATCTGGAGAATAGAGGCTCTTTCACTTTTTAACTAGTATAGGGCATGCAGGGGGCATTTGTTATGGGCAGTAATAGACCTTCAAGCTTTCATTTTGCTGAACATAACAGAAGACATTAGCCTTAACATGTCCCTTTCTGTAACTAAAGGGACAAGAGCTAACGTGATGGCCCACAAAGGGCTTTACATTGTCATTCAAAAATTCTTCCAACTCTACTTCATCCAGCTTTGTCCTGGTTATTGTAGCTATTCTAGGGTGGATGTAGCTAATGAATGAAGCTATTCTGTAATGAAGTCAGACAACTGAGAAGTAATCTGGAATCTTGCTCCACTGAGACATTGTAGTAGTTGAAGGGTTGATCATGCCTCCAAGTTATATTGCAGGGATGTCAGAGACTGCTCTGAGCATGGGAGGACCAGAGATAACGTCTACACTTCAGCTGGCCAGATCAGACACCAATTTTTAAGTAGAGGGGGGGATTCAAATTAAAAAATCAAATGGATGCTGAAGGTCCCTGGTGTTTGGTGAGTGGTAGTTTTTCAGATGACATTCAGCCAGAGGCCTGTATAGTTCAGGACTCTTCTTCTGGAGGGCTTTGAACTCTCCATTTACAGTGAGTGCAGGCAGACAAGAGGATTTTTCCTTTTTCTCAGCTGAACTGTATTTGAAAGGAGATTTTGTAGTTGTTTGGAGAGGACCTAGAGGAAGGGTACAGACTGTTCTTCCAGTCTCAAAGAAAGTCTCAAATTTTCAGGCTTGAATGAGTAAAGTCATAGTCTCATAGAAATGTTTGAGTTGGAAGTGGCCTTAAAGATCATCTAGTTGCAACCTCACACCATCAGTACAGATACCTTCTGCTAGATCAGGTTGCTCAGGTTCCCTGTGTAGTCAGGCAGCCTGTGCCAGTGCCTTACCACCTTCACAGTAAAGAATTTCTTCCTAATATCTAATCTAAATCTCCCCTCTTTTAGTTGAAAACCACAGTCCCTGCTATGTTGCTATACTCTCTGATAGGTAGCCTTTCCAGCTTTCCTGTAGATGTGGAAGGCCACTTTGAGGTCTCCTCAAAGTCCTCACTATTTCAGGCTGAGCAACTCCAACTTTCCCAGCTTGTTTTCATAGGAGTGGTGCTGTAAGCCTTGAGTATCCTCAGACTCACCAGACACTAGTAAATGCCCTTTAACCAGTACTCCAGAGACTGACTCTGGATCTCTAAAGCTTGAATTGAACAACTGAGGTTGTGCTGGAAATTCGTATCCTTTCCCACAAGACAGCTCACAGGAGTTGTTGTCAAAGAACAGTGGCAGGAAACAGCAAATTTCCATGGGTCCTTCTTTGCCATTGCATCAGGGCTTTGGACACCCACAAATATCTCAGTAACTTTTTTTGGTGAAATTGAAATACTGGTGGGATAGTCCTGAATGCCATCTGTAGTCTTAGCTTTATAAACATGTTAGCTGTCACACTGTGGGTGCTTAATTTTGTGCATGATTGTGCAAGCAGAGCTGTAGGGTATAATCAGGAAGGGCTTGTGGGAAGTCAGCTCTTTGCAGGACCAGGGCAAAAACCCTTCATCTCACACCTTTGTCATAGCAGAGAGGTGGTGATCAGGGAGGTGGTGGTTGGAATATCTCCTGTCCCTGGAGATATTCAAAGTCAGACCAAGCTCTGAGCACCCTGATCTAGCTATAAATACCTCTGTTCCTTGTAGGAGAGTTGAGCTAGATGACTTTTAAAGGTCCCTTCCAACTCAAACAATTATGATACACAAAACAACCAGATGTGTGGTGAAGTGGTCTTTGGTATTGGACTCAAGAGCTACTGTTGATCTGGAAAGCACAGCTTGGAAATGGTAGTTGATCATTGTTAAACTACTCACTTTCTTCCAATGGTAATTTTGTTTAAGAGATTTCCAAAGAGATCTCTTTGCAAGTACCCTTAGTGAAAAGCTAATATTTTTGTGCCTTGAAAGGACAAGGATAAAAGTGTCTCAACTAGACTAGCGTATTACTGGAGTTGGCTGTCAGTTCTCCTTCTCAAATACCACTTCTTCCTTTCTCCGCTGTCAGCCACCACTTCTGACAGTTTTGGAAGGAAACACTTTGATTACATGCTGTGACAGGGAGATCAGACAGTCAGAAAGGATAAGGGCCAGTGCTTGGTGATGTGTGAACCCAACTTCAGAAAGCTCAAGGAGGGGGGAGAGGGGCTGCTGGGGACCTGATGGGAATAAAAGCCCTTGTTTTGCCATGTCCTCATTGCTAACTGGAATGCAGGACTGTCTGCTCCCTTCTTCAAGGAAAAATATTCTTAAAGCTTGGATTAAACATTGAAGCAAAAGATTTGGGGGCAAGCTCAGCAATTTGGGAGCCCACCTGGTTCTCCCTCTGTCCTGTCCTTGCGTTCATGAAGACTTTCAGTCATCACAGCCCTCCAACACTGCATTCCCATTTCCTCCCTCCATGCCTGATTATTCATTCTATTATTACACCTGCTCAGACAGTGTCTCAGAGAGCAACTTGTTATCAGGAAGAAATCAGAACTGATTAAATTAATATGTGGTAGCTTTAATTTAGAAATAAACAAGATTCAGGACTTGGAAAAAGTCAGAACATCCTGCTTTCTATTTTCAATTTGAAATGCTTTGTGTTGTTTGGTGTTTTTTTTTTCTTCTTTTTTCTCCAAATGTTCTGAATTTTAAGGTGAAAAATAACATAGTTGGAAGTCAGGTCTGATACAAAAACAATTGAAGCCGATCAACAAAATTGAAATGTTTCCAGGAAGGCTTTGTTTCCTGGGAGAGGTCTGAAAGGCAGTGTTTCTTTTGATGCAGAATGAAATGATATTGCTGAGAGTACAAGCACAGAAATGAATAACTGCAGGGTTAGCTGGTTTAAGTGCTTTGAGGAAGTCCTTGTTCCATTGTGGTTGCCTGCTCTTATCCATTGGTAAATGCATGGTACTTTACTGTTGAAACAGGATTACTCCATTGCACATTTACTCCAGGGTACTGCCATGTCTAAGCGTGCAAACTTTCCATGGGGTTGCTGACACAGTGTAAATTCTCATCTTCTCATGCTCTAAGGTACCAAGTTTAAGTATCCATACTCTAAATTCCTGCATTCCCCATGAAATGGAAATCCAGCTCCAGTGCTGATTTAACTGTTCATGACTGTCACAGAATCACAGAATGGTTGAGGTTGGAAGGGACATTTGGAGGTCAAGCAGGGACACCTATAAGAAGTTGCCCAGGACAGTGTCCAAATGGATTTTGAAGATCTCTAAGGAGGGACACTCCACCACTTCTCTAGGCAACCTCCTTGGTCACCTTCACAATGAGAAAGTGTTTCCTTAAAAAAAAACCTTTTTCCTTCCTGTTTTTATGTTCAAATGTGAAAATTGTCTACCTGGCCAACCTGTCACATTCAGCTGATGAGAAACAGATATTTCTCTTACCTGTTTTTCTTTAGAGCGGGTTTGTCAGTATTTCTAGGAAGGTGGTGGGGTCACTGTCCCTGGTGGTGTTCGAGAGGCATCTGGATGAGGTGCTACAAGATAAGGTTTTGCAGTTTAGTGAGTAGTAATGGTGACAGCAAGATGGTTGGACTAGATGATCTTGTAGGCCCTTTCCTTTCCAGGCCCTTGTAATTCTACGATTCTGAGGGGATTTCAATGCGTAGTGAGATCTGCATGTGGATGTACAGTGCAGTAGAATTTCCATGGAGATTCCTGTAGCACATTTATAGTGTTAACCTGAGAGATGGGAGGTCTCCATCTGATCTAGGTGCATTGATTGCATGATTCTATGATGCTGTTATTTTTCAAGTGGTGAAAGTCTGGTCAGTGCAATCAGTGGAGTTCAGTGAAAGACTCCTTTGGATCTCCGCTGAAGAGAAATGTCATCAAGGCCTACTGGATTCCATGATAGGCACTGACATGATAGACATCAGTGTTTAATGAGAAGATTTCCTTGGGCTTTGTAGGCACCAGGCAGATTAGGAGCCCAAATTCCACAGAAAGTTAATGGAGAAAGGAGAAATATGATAGTGATAGGACAAGGAGGAATGGCTTGAAATGAAAAGAGGGGAGATTTTGATTAAGCATTAGGAGGAAATTCTTTATTCAGAGGGTGGTGAGTCATGTGGATTCTCAGTCTCTGGAGGTGTTCAAGGCCAAGTTGGGCAGCCTGATCTGCAGTGTGGCAACAGTTCCCACAGCAGGGAGTTTGGAACTAGATGAACTTTAAGATCCCTTCCAACCCCAGGCATTCTATGATTCTCAAGCTGTGTGATGTGAGGGAGGAGCAACATGTTGGTTTCCAAAGGAGGCATGACAATACCTCACTTTCAGCTTAAGAACATCCACATAAGCAGTGAATTCCCACCTTGCTGCTGAGCTGTGAAATTTCCCCATGGCAGCAAGCCCAGAGGGAGGATCCAGGAGCAGAAATGTACTATGCTTCTGGATCCGAGCTCCCCCTAGGCTTACTGGTTAGCAAATGAACAAATCTGCTCTTTTGCCTGAGCGAGCATGACAAGAGAATTATCTTGCTCACAAAGTAATGCTGTAGCTTCCAGCAGGACCTGGTCTGAAACAGAGCATCGCATGAATTTTGCATGCATTCCTCTGTCAACAATCAAGTGATTATCAAACATGGCTCTGCAGGCAGACCCCCAGGCAACTGGGCCTTTGTGCAAGTACAGGAGAAACAAAAAGCAAAACTTGCTTGCTGTAAATTCTGAGACTTTTTTACTGTGGGGTATCAGCTCCTGAGATCAACTTCACAGGCAAAGGGAGGCAGCAAAACATGCATCTTTTTGATGGTGGTGCAAGCTATCAAGTAATTTTCTTTCTTACTTTTCCAGCTGCTGGCTGTCATTAGAGGGAGGTCTTCTCTATGCCTTCGTGGGACCTGCTGCTGCTGTTGTTTTGGTATTTGAGCTTGTCTGAAATCTTTTTTTTTTTTTTCTCTTTGTATTATTATTATTATTATTATCATTATTATTATTATTATTATTATTTTATAAGACTTCCCTCATTCTTTCAACCCAAGAGTGTTCCTCTCTCTTTCTACTGTTGTTTTTAATAACTTTATCCTTCAGGAAGAAAACACAGAGTATTAGAAGCCAGCAATTTGGGATGGGTTTAAGTCTGAAATGCAGTGTACCTCAGCAACCAGACTTTTACCTCTGAACTCTCTGGAGTTCCCTAGATATCTGGATAAAGCTTTAGCTTTTTATCGGCCTGTCTGGATGGAAGTGCAGAATGGTGGTGGAAAATTATGACATTGTCTCCTTCAGAATCTAATGTTAGTGGCTGCTCTTAGACCAAGTAGGGTCTCCACTGACAGCATTTATTCTTCATTTGTCCCAGATGTCCATGAAATTTGAGTAGCTTCCTTGCTCTCAAGTGAAATGGAAGTCTTTGAAAAACAATGCTGAGGGGATCCTTTATGGCTCCAAAAACATCAAGTTTGCTTCTTGTTCAAAGAAATGGTGTGGTTCAAGTAGGCATTCATTAACTCTGTCCCACTGTCCTCCTGTCCCCTATGCCTTGGCTCTAACCCAAAACCAAAGCCTGTCTCAGTCAGTTACTATCACAGAATCACAGAATCACATAATCACCCGGGTTGGAAGGGACCTCAAGGATCATGTAGTTCCAACCCCCCTGCCTAGCCGTCCACCAAACATACACAATCAGATCAGGTTGCCCAGGACCCCGTCCAGCTTGGCCTTGAACACGTCCAAGGACGGGGCATCCACAACCTCCCTGGGCAGCCCGTTCCAGGGCCTAACCACTCTCCTTGTAAAGAAACCACTCTCCTTGTAAAGAAAACCACTCTCCTTGTAAAGAAATATCAACTATCAACTATATTCAACTATCTGAGTTGAAGGTGTCACTGAAGTGATGACAGACCTTTCATCAAGCTTCCCTGCTGTTGAAGCCTCACTGATCATGAGAAATCTTGACTGTCAGGGTTCAAAGACTTTGTAAACTGCTGGTCCCTTTAGGAAATCCCTTCTTCACCAATTGCAGACACATTTAATGACACTTGTAGACCCATCTAAGTGGAAGTCTGTTTTTTTTCTCTTCAACCCAATGTTTTATCCAGTGGAGGAGCTGTTTGGTCTTGTCTCACGTGCCCTGGAGAATCCCATAGGAATGGAATTGTCGACATTTGCAGTTTCTTTTTTGGATCTGTTTTTTTGTTTCAGGCAGTGCTGAGGGGGATAACTGCCTTGCAGCAGGAGCAGGCTTACAGGAGAATAGCTACACAAAACTTCTTGCTGCCTCTATTCTTACTGCTGTCACTGCACATCAAGCCACCATGGTGTCATCATGACGTCAAAGAAACAAGTCATCGGTTGCCCCTCTTCTACAATAAAGCAAAGTTTTTCTCTCTTACAATCTTTCTTTAGCGTTGATACAACACATAGCTGAGCCTTTGGGTAGCCATCAGCAAAGAGTGGGAATATGCAGATGTACATTAGATTTCTGTAGGCATGCAGTAGTCGGATTTTGTTCAGTAATGTTGCTGATGGGCTTAGAGTCTTCCTTATTGCTGGAATAACTGACAGCAGCATTAAGTGGCTTAGTGTTTTCAGATGAACTACCTCTGCTCAGCAACATAATAACAGATAGCTCTGGCTCAGTGGCTAGGGTGTTCAATAGACAGCGGTGATTAGGAGGGAGTGAACTATTGTGCCTGGAGAAAGAGCAGTCAGTCTCCTGCCTGTTTTGCTTTTGTTGTGCCAACAACAAGGGAAGTAATCCTTCAGCTTTTCCTACCCTGCTTCCATTTGGCATCTCTGTTTTCACTCATCATCAAAGGTGGAATTGGAGATAACCTTACAGTGAGGTCAACACCTGCAGATGCTCGTTCATATAGAACGTTTTAGGAAGTGGTGAATCATCTCTGGAGGTGTCTGTCTCTTTTCATTGCCTAGAGAAGGCGACTGTACATCTCATTTATACTACCTGACTCATTGCTAGCTAAATGAGAAGCAAGTGATGCCCAAGAGAGGTATGAGGTAATGTACCTATATCCTGAGGAACTTGGGGAAGAGGAGGAGAAATAAGCATTGAGCACTTTTTTGTAAATGGAAACCCGAGCTGACAAAATTCACACTATGGCTTTGTAGCAGAGCATAGGTGGAATACACAGTTCTCAAGTATGCACTGTGTATGAGACCAGACAGTTGTCTCTTTTGTGCATGCTTTGTCCTGATTTCAGATTGGCCATGCCAGATATGGAGGGTCACCTTGGCTCCGTATGAGGACTGTGAGGCTCTCACAAGGCTGTGTGAGGGATATGCAGCTGTACTACTACTCAGGACAGCACTGCTCCAGATAATGCACCTGCTCTTGTGCAGGAATCACAGAACAAGATGGGACCTGGCTCTGCACCTGAGCTAAGCAGCTCTTTCTCACCTGAAACTCTGAGGAATATGATACGTTGACACCCAAATGACTTCACACAAAGCTGACTTGGCTCCAGCTGGGTTTATTGTCTATGCTTTTAACTTTAAGAATCCCAGGACATTTAAATTCAGGGCTGCTGCAAGTGGTTTCACACTTCTAACTCAGGTGAGGCGCCCTGATGATGCACAGGTTGAAAGCCTGTTGCAGAGATGCAATTACAGAGCTACAATTCTTCATCTCTCCTGCTATAAATGAATGAGGATGAACACTGTTGTGCCAAACCCTAATAGGTATGCAACCTGCAATACTTCAACCTCATATTGTACTTTAAAGAAGAGGACATCATATGCTCAGAAGCATCAAGCATTGAGGAAAGACATGAATTGCAAGTGTGCTCACAAGTATGCACTTAACTGGGGTTTGTTTTCTTGCTGATCCTTAACCAAGTTACTGCGTGTGACTTGCCAGCACTGTGTCTGTAGAATAAAACAATGATATGCTCTAGAAATGGACTGACAGCTGTGGAAAGTATTCCACTCACCCAACAGCTGATACAAAAGAAAATAACTGCTATTTGGGAGCTCTTCTATTTGCTGCTAGCTGTAGACTCCACATCAGAAAGCTGGGTCGTGTCCTGATGAAATCAGCAGAGCAAACTCAGAAGGGTTGTTCAGTCTTGAGAATGATTCTGGCATCTAGATGAAGGCTTAGTGTGAGCAGAAATGTCTTTCCCATGGGCTGTGTGTTCTTTGGTGGTTTGATGGTTGGAGTAGATAATCTACTAAAATGGTCTTTTTCAACTTCAGTAATTCTATGATTCTATTAGTTGTTCATTAGGACTACTTCTCAAGGGTGTTCTAAACTCACTCAGGCTCTTACCTAACATCTAATGGTGCATCTATCTGAACTTGACCTGAATTGTTTCCTTGCAAGCACAATGTCCAAAAGAGCATCTAGTACCTCGTCCTATCAACACCAGCTATTTCACTGGCAACAAAACCAGGAGAATGTCACTTTTTTCCACCATCAGCACTGTGCCCCTAGGAAGAGGTGATGCTTGTGTATCACTTAAGTGGTTATGTTCAGAGGTTGCTGAGGTTTGCATGGGGTTTGTAAAACTGATGCAGCTGGCAGTGGTGAATGGAATAAAAATGGAGCACTGAGGAGTTCAACATCTCTTTGAAAGACCTTAGCTCTGCACAGCTTGTATTTCTCTGTGAATTTTATACCTGACTGATACAGACATCTGTGCTCTTGCCCTAACAAAGCAGAACGAAGGGCTGTGTAAAGTTGCTTTGCCTACTAATTTCTTGGAAATGGATAGATGGCTAATCCATGAGCTGTGCAATCTGCAGTCTTTCTCAAGATATCCTACCATAGCAGCTGATATTTCTGCTTACTCAAGTGGCTCTCCACCTCTTAATTCTGAGAGCAGCAGTGGTGCTTCACTGATCAGGAATGATGACTATCCATCTGGAGCATACCACGCTATCCTATTAGTGCTGCTGCTTTTGGACCACAGATTCTAAAAAAACACTTCTGAAATTGTGTCATGCCACTTCTCTCCCCTGCATTGGCCACTTTCAGTTTGTATTATCCTGAAAAAATATTTTTATGCTTTGAGTTTGGCTCACTCTTGAGCATACATTTGACCTGATCTAGCTGCAGATGTAACTGTTAATTGCAGGGGAGTTAGACTATCACTAAAGGTGACCTTTAAGGGTCCCATCCAACTCAAATGATTCTGTAATTTTATGAGGCCTGCAGCATTTTGAGGACTTTACAGCCTTGTCGTGGCCCTTGCAGACCTCTCTGAGCTGCTGCCAGCTTCATTCTGCTTTCCTGAACTCAGATTGATGCCCAGGGGAGGTGGGATGGTAAGGGGATAAAAGGGGTGGTGGCCTGCAGAGATGTGACTGTCACCCAGCTTTGGGAAGAAAGAAGGGCTCAGCTTGCCCTTTTGTTCCTTCTGTACTGCTGAGTGTGATCTGCTCCACCTGAGAACAAAACTGTGTGTTGTTTTTCTTTCAACAGGTGAACATGGTTATTGGCATTCTGGTTTTTAACAAACTTGTATCCAAAGATGGAATAACAGATAAGAAACTGAAGGAACGGGCAGGGTATGCCTTATCAATACATCTAAGTAAAGAATAAAAACAAAAAACAATAACAACAAAAAAACAAGGTTGTGGTCAATAACCAGGTGAGAAATACAGACAGATTGGAGATGGAAACAAGCAAAAGCAGTTTTAAACAAAATGGAACAAACAAACAAAGAAATCCATGGATTAATATTTCTGCCTTGTTATTCAGTGCAGAGTCCAAAAACAAAACAACAAAACAAGTACCTTGCTGATAAAGGGAGAGATTGAATTCAGCTCTTTGTTAAAAAGGCTTCATCCTAAACTGACATATTCTTCCAAAATATGGGACAAAGACAGTGATTCTTTTCACTAACTTCAGGAGAATTAGTTGGATCAGAGAGGGATGTGTCATTGCTGAGTTTGGCACGTGGCATGGGCTGTGTGACAGCAGGGTTGCATCTAGCAGCTGGCAGATGGCTGAGGGATGGCAAAGGTACACAGTGCTTTGAAGGAAAGGGTTTTGAAGGTGTACAAGTGAACAGATTAGTATATGAGTGGTCAGTAGAGAAAAGTTTCTCTTCTGCAAGAAGAAATTCTGTTACCTCCTGAAATTCTCTATCTTTTCCACAGTCACCACTCAAACCTCCATCCCTGAAGCCCAGGTCTGGTGCTAAGTGGTTTACTCTGTAGTGTAATAGAAGAGTTTGTTCCACAGCTCTTGACAGTAGCCAGTATGGCAGCAACCACACAAGGCCCTCCCTTGGCTTGCCTCCAAACTACTGACAGTGCAGCTATTTAGTGATGACATCAAAACTGAGAGCAGAAGCAAGCTCTTATCTAGCCAGAGAAGAAGGAACAAGAGAAGGCTCGCATTTAATCTACAGTGTTGACCTGGCCAAATGGTATGATTCCTTGGTACAACGAGGAAGGAATCTTGATGCCCAAGTAAGATATTTATTACAAGAGGAAAATTAAGTCCTTTTGGGTGATCAGAGGTATGTGTTATTGCTGGGTTAAATATGTATGTGAGTAAGTGACCTTAATGCATTGCTTTAAGCAACCACTAGCAAGGAAATGCTTTATTCTGGCTGATGCCTTTTTTACAAAGAGAACTCAAGAAAATACCTTAACTGCAGGGAGAGTCCACAGAAAGGTAATTACACTGGAAAGTCAATGCTGAAATAAATCATTTATTGGATTAGCAGAGCAGCGAGTTGCTGCTTATCAGCCTGTCCCTCTTTAAGCTAAACTGCACACAGAAGGATCTTATTTAATACCTATCAGCTGGTTATTGATCATACTCACAGTTATACTTTGACAACAAAGCCAACAAAGCAAAAAAAAAAAAAAAAAAAAAAAGTCCTTTTTCTGATGTTCTTTGTTTTTTCTTTCTTTTCTCTTTTTTCCCCCCTTTCATGTCCGTGTGTGTGTGTGCAGCACTTTTAAGCCTTCTCTGTGCTAAGTGATTTTGTTCTCCTTTCCAAGTGCACCCGCTGAGATTGGGGGGATGCTTTTGGGATCCCCGATGCTCCCTCCCTCTAGCTAGCCGCTTCTGGCCTGGGCTTGGGAACCGTGTTGGAGGGTAGATCTGAAGATAATCAGACTGAGTCATGGCCTCGGACATGTTTGGATCTGAGGAGATGGTATAAAGAAACGTTGTGTTTCCTTTAGCAGAGGCAAGAAGTATGGTTCAGTGTTGGAAAAAAAAAAAAAAAAGAAAAAGGAAAAAAAAAGGGAAATCCTCCCAAAAAAGGAGGGGAAATTGACCTGTTGAATGAGGAGCCCAGCACATATACCACAGATTGGTTGTCATTAATAAAGTAGTGTTAACAGCTTCTGCAAAATAATATCTGAGACACAATAAGTTTTGCCCTATAGTTAACAGAGGAAATCATTGTGATTATTGATGTCATGAAACTTTGACTTTCTAAAGGCATTTGTCAGAAATATCTTTATACATATATCAGAAAATGAGGCTACGGAAAGGTAGATGTTGCATGAAGAGCTTGCACATTGCACATGGATGCCACAAATCCTTTCTAAGCAAATATCCTGTGCTAGAGATGGGGAGAAAACCCTGCAAGAGGTTCTCAGCAAATGCTTGCTTGCAGTGCTCCAGTATTTCCCCATCCTCCTTCTGGAGGAGGTTGACCATCCTCCTTCTGCAGGCAGCAGCACCAATAGCATTTTTAGTCTTTGTTGACATGAGTGCTGCTAAAAGCAAATGTTTTCATGCTGGATGCAGGGACCTTTATAATGAATTCTAAATTTATTCAGCCAACGTTTATTCCAGAAGCATTTGTGTGCTTATGCAGTCAGGGAAGAAGAATGAGACTATAGGGTGTATTCACAAAGGCTAATTTTAGCCTGCTGAGTTTAATCTCCCCAGGCTTCCTTTGTAGCCATTGGAAAGAGACAGGAGCCTTGTTTAGTTTTCCCAACTTGTCCCTTAGAGGAGCTTTACTTCTTTTATCCTTCTGCTGATTGACTTGATAAAGTTTTCTCCAACACCTTGTGAAACATTCTCTGTGTGTGCTGCTGGGAATGACAGAGCTGGATGGTTAGTGCCAAGACAAATAATTGGGAAGATAATCACTATATTAAAATAGGGACAGATTTGGATTGCCCTTCATCTGGAAGCATTTCATGTTGGAAAAATGAGCTGTGTGTGGTGGTAAAGCACTGTTCAGTGTCTAGTAGCAAAGTCCAGGCTCCACAGTACACACCTGATAAGTCCGTGAGTTGTTTGTGGATATTTAAGAGGAAGAAAAAGCTAAATTAAATGAATGCATTATTCACTGTGGTTGTTCCATTAGCTACCCTATCATACATACATGCACCAATATAAACCTAGCATGTAAATTCAATATATTAACAACCTCAAACCCCAAAGTGGAATGAATATGAAGACAAATGTACCCACATCTGTGCTTACTGCTTACAACTTTCTGCATAAATGCACCCAACAGCAATTACAGTTGTGTGTTATAGTGGTCTTTTGGCTGGTTCTTTGTGATTCAGTGTCATTCATGTTTCTCTGGTACAGTTTTCCATCAAATTCCTTGAATCAATCTATTTTCTTTTTGCTGCCTATCTCTGCCTCTCTCTGTCTCTCTGCTTATCTGTTCTTTGTGGCTTATAGGTCTGGGGATGGACCATGTTTTTTTTAAGGGTCATGCACTTAATGCCTCTCAAGACCCACTTTATCTTTAGTTCAGCCATTGTCCTCACTGGATTTACACCATTTTGCCTGGAAGATAGGAATTTATTGACACGGGAACTAATTTTCTCTGTGTCTCAAGGCTGAAAGTTGCTGTGAGACATCTTAGTTATGAGTCCTTATTTTGGAAGGCAGTGATGGCTTCTGTCACTGTAACTAATTCAAAGACAATGAATAGCCATTAAATTAAGCTCAATGACCACTAGGAACACTGATAATGCTGTGTTGGTGTTCATAGGTGTTTTCTTTTTGCAGTGAGACTGCACACAAAGCCATAAATATTAGGAAACCATCAGCTAAGTTTCCTAATCTCTCTCCCAGCTGTAAAAACCCAAGATCTTGTACTTCCAAACATCATCAGCTTCACTGCCATCACTAAGGAATGATAGACATGCTACCATCACTGATGCTTCTCTGACATCAGGCACTGTGTGTAGGTCTGTAGGATGCTTTGCAGTCTCCTGCCCATTTTGTATGCCAGATATGATGTGGGTAGCATGGATCTGTGCAAACAAGGAAGCGAGTGAGAAGCAGTAAATTTTGGAAAGAAAAGGGGCCAGTCATCAGCTTCTGTGGCTTCTGAGCTCCCAAGTAACAGCTGGCTGTTCATATGTATAAACATCTAAAAACTGTGGACATAACCTTCCCTAAGTCCTCAACACATTATGTACCAGCAGCCCACGACAGCTTGTCTCTATGGCTGATCTCCAGAAAGAGGGAGCAACCTACACTAACAAGTCTCAAGGTTCATCCCAAAGATATTTTCAGCTCCGAAACAAGATTCGAGAGAAGGAATATCTCAGAAGTAGTCAGTGTGTCCACTTTCCTGAGTTTAAAACTCATAGGGCTTTTCCAAGAGCAAATTGATGATCTGGCAAAACACCCTTAATTTCAAGGACAGATGCAGCTGTTGTATGTGCATGCTCTTAGTCATAGATGAAGCCACCAAAGAGTACCTTATCTCCTGGTGTTGTCAGCTGCCAAAAAGAAAAATGTTTTTTACAAAAAGGATGGTGAAACACTGGCACAGGTTGCCCAGAGGGATGGATGTCATGTCCCAAGAGATATTCAGAGTTAGGCTGGACAGAGCTCTGGGCAACCTGATCTAGCTGTAGGTGTCCCTGTTCATTGCAGGGGAGTTGGACTAGATGGCCTTCAAAGGTCCTTTTCAACTTAAATGGACAAATCATAGAATCATAGAATCATAGAATCATAGAATCACCAAGGTTGGAAAAGACCTAAAAGATCACCCAGTCCAACTGTTCACCTATTCCCAATAGCTCCTACTAAACCATGTCCCTCAACACAACATCCAGTCTTTCCTTGAACACCCCCAGGATCGGTGACTCCACCACCTCCCTTGGCAGTCCATTCCAGTGCCTGACCACCCTTTCTGAAAAGTAATACTTCCTAATGTCCAGCCTGAATCTCCCCTGCCGTAGCTTGAAACCATTCCCCCTGGTCCTATCACTAATGACACGAGAGAAGAGGCCGACCCCCAGCTCACTACAACCTCCCTTCAGGAAGTTATAGAGAGCGATGAGGTCTCCCCTGAGCCTCCTCTTCTCCAGGCTGAACATTCCCAGCTCCTTCAGCCTCTCCTCATATGGCCTGTGTTCCAGACCCCTCACCAGCTTTGTTGCCCTCCTTTGAACATGTTCCAGGGCCTCAATATCTTTCTTGTGATTCTATGATTCTATATTATGGGTGTCTCCACTGAGGTGAGGACTTGCACACAAGGGCCACTGGAGGAAACGTTATCTTTTGGGAAACAAGCTAAGTAGTCCCCACAGCCCTACTTCTTGCCTTCTACTGT